CCCGATCCACGGAATTACACATTCGGATAGACCCTGCTCAATTCATAGAATTACACCTTCGGATCGACCTTGCTCAACGCATGGAATTACACCTTCGAATCGGCCTGCCCGATCCACAGAATTACACCTTCGGATGATATGATAGAAGCTAGAATTTAGATCGATTGAACCCGTCACCAACCCCTCCTCGCAACTAGAACAGAGTAAGCAAACCATATGATCGCTAGCCATTGAACCAACAACAAACCAATTGGGCAAACCGATAGAAAATCCTAGAGTACAACCTCAACGTGAACCAGCCTAGGTGGTGGCGATCATGAAAGGAATGAGATTACGTTAAGTGGCCAGGCAAGCTAAATGATGAAGCAAGGAGAGACACGACCAAGTGGTGCGAGGTCCACGGGGACCAGTACATAAAACCTCAGATTGCATTGCCCTACGGTTGGAGGTCGTTGCACTATTGAAGAGAGGACATCTCCGAGATCTGTTGATAGATAAAGGGAAGAGTACCATCAGCCAGAAAAGCACGAAAGAAAAACTCCACCTCCGCAGGAACCTACGCCAAAAGGATTGCAATATCATCAAGAGCGTCAGAGATCAGTGGGTTAAGTTACTCGTCAACCAAACGCTACGCCAGAGCCAATAGCCACCATGAAATACATCTATCCACCCCTCTCTCGGTCACATTCCTACCAGGTAATTCAGTTCGAAGACGACGAGCCGGTTACCCTAGCAGTCCTTCACCATGATGCTTTAGTCGTCTCCCTCCAGACGCCAACATTCTGGTCAAGGGGTATTCATAGATGGGGGATCATCAGCAAATATTCTATTCCTTGAAGCAGTAAAGACTATGGGAAGGAAGAAGCAAACATCAACAGAAGGCCAACCCTACTGGTTGGGTTCAGTTATGAGTAGAAGTTCTCCACGAGAGATCATCATTCCTATCTATGCCAGCGGAGTAAACAAACAAACCCTTTTTCTAGTGATCGACTGTCCTTCACCATACAATGTTATCTTGGACGACCTGGATCCACGACATGCAAGCGGTCCATCCACTTTCCACCAAATGATCAGGTTTCCTACCAAATGGGAGTTGAGAAATCAAGGGCGACCCGAAAGCTTCCAGAGATTGTTACAAGAATGCCTTCAATGGCAAGGGTAACGCTTCATAGTAATTACAGTCCCATCCAACCCCTCGACCGAGTCGGATCAACCATCTATGGAAGAGTTAGATGAAGTACAAATACATCCGAATGACTCCGAGAGAAACACACACATAGGTTCCCGCCTCAGGCCGAGACAAGAGAGAAGCTGATAGAATTCCTCAAACAAAACCAAGACTATTTCGCTTGGTCCCACGCTGACATGACAGGGATCAGTCCAAAGGCAATGGTCCACCACCTCAAGGTAGATCCGGATCACCAGCCAGTGAAGCAAAGGAGAAGGAAATTTGCATCAGAGCACAACCGGATCGTCAATGAAAAGGTTGAAAAGCTATTGAGCAACGGTATGATTAGAGAGGTCACTACCCTGAATGGTTGGCAAACATCGTGGTTGTAAAGAAAAGAACAGAAAGTGTAGAGTGTGCATCGACTTATGGACTTAAACAAAGCGTGCCCTAAGGATCCTTCCTAGCTTCCACATACGAAATGATGGTTAATGCGACCGCAAGCCACGAGCTCTTTAGTTCATGGACGCTTTCTCAGGGTATAGCCAAATCTTGATGCGCCCGGACAACCAAGAGAAGACAGCCTTCATCACGGAGAGGGGAACCCACTGCTACAAAGTGATGCCATTCGTCTGAAGAACGTCGGGCCTACCTATCAGGCTAGTCAACAGGATGTTTGCCGAACACCTCGGACACTATAGAGGTTTCATCGACGACATGCTCATCAAGTCCCTGATAGCGAACAACACCTTTACCACCTCAGCCAGGCATTCGCCGTCTAAGAAAGTATAACATGAGTTGAATCTAGCCAAATGCTCATTCAGCGTCTCATCAGGTAAATTCTGGGATACATGGTAACTCAGAGGGATAGAAGTCAACCATGACCAGATCAGAGCGATCCTCAATATACCATCCCTAGCTTGCATCAAAGACATCAGCACCTTGCAGGACGAGTAGCTGCCTTGAGCATTTCATCTCCAGATCTGTCGACAAGTGCCACCTTTTCTTCCACGCACTAAGAAGTCCAACAAGTTCGAGGGACCCCTTTTGCGAAGAAGCCCTGCAACAATTGAAAAGGTACATGATCTCCCTCCACTCCTTTCCAAGCCTGTGGATGGGGAAAAGCTTACACCTATCGCAGTCTCAAAGACTGTTATCTCAGTAGTGTTAGTTCGGGAAGAGGAGCGATTTCAAAGAAAAAAAAAAAAACCTTTTGCTAGATAGATGAAACCATATTATTATTATATTAGTAATTCTCTAATCAAAACGTTCTTATACTATTTATATCAAGATCAACGTAAATATCATTTGATTAAACATAATCTTGATATAATTAATATTAGAATATTGTTAGGGTCAAAAAATGTCCTCGGCCCTAATGGGAAAATGTGCTTGGCAATGAGGAAAAGACCAGGCCCAATCCCGATGCGGCCCAAGCCAGAACTCCCCGGATAAGGCCCATTTGGTATGAGATGCAGTCAGTCCAAACCATCTAGACACAGGCCTTCTAATCCCAGTACGCTTCCTGGACCTATGGTCGAATTCAGAGCCCATGGCCACCTACGGATCACTTTCCTACTCAAACACTGATAAAGTAGTGCACTACCATCCCAACTCCTCCAAGGTCTGTGTTAGAGTTATACTTGGACTCCCTTTCACATCACGATAATGGGGGCCAAAGGATAAATCCCTGGAGGAAACCGATTATTACGAGAACTCCCAATCCTGGTAGGATTGGGAGATCAGACAGTCACTATTTAAACAGAGGCCAACCTTCTCACAAGGCAGATTACACTACATCTTCCGACCTCGGAGTTCTAACTTGAGAACTTCACATTACAGCTATAGTCACAGTCCCCGACTAGACTTCTAGTAACTTTTCTACTCCCTAGCCCTCACTAAATCAACCTCTTTCAGCCTTGCTGACTTGAGAGTCGAAGTACCTACGGCGAACACCACCCCAGTGTTTTCCGTCGCTTCACGTTTGTTTCTCTACGTGTGCTGGTACAGCAGATCGCTAGTGGCCTCAACCTCACGGGATCAATCCTTCTTTCCGTACAGATAGATTTTTTCGTCTACAGTTTGGCGCCCACCGTGGGGCCTCTAGCAATCATTCGGTTAAACAAACCCTGCTACGTAAAGGAACTTTCCATGGTTGACAATTTTGACAACGCTAACCCTAGCCTCGAGGCCAAAGTGGAGGCTCTGACTGCCTTCATGCAGTAGAACTCGGATAATGTGGTTGCATTGGAAGTTGAGAACACTACTTTCCAGACCGAAAATGCCTCCATCAGGGTTGAAAACTAGTCTCTAAAAGTGAAGGTAAGTCAGTTTTATGACTTAAGCTTCTACCTTCTCAAGTATTGCCCAATCGATTTCGTGCCTTGGTTCCATCTATGCAATCTTTCCAAACCCCAGAGCCCAGACCCGTGGCCTCAGATAAAAGGTCGTGTCAACTATGTTCATCGGTGGTAGATGATTCGGTCCTGACCCATGGAGAAAAAGATCTGCCAATGGAACCCCACTTGGCCAAACCACCTCAATCATAAGATCAAGGCGTCCAAGTGACAGAAAGCCCACTCCAACAAGAACCACCCATCTTAGCCATCCCACCTCACCTCCAGTCAACCATCCCTACACAAAACCCATTCAGCTTGGCTCACCCTCGCAGGTCAAACGGCCACCCAAACCAAACCATCCTGCTCGAGTCCATCCATCATGACGGACCAAGCGAGTACCAAACAACCCCCTAACTATTCATGTAGGACGAAACACTCGATCAGTTACAATGGGAGTTATCCAACCGGAGGGAATGAACGGTGATCCAAGCTCCCAGACGGTACATGAAGGAATGATCCACCAGGCTACACCATGTGGAATGACTCAACAAAATTTGCCGAATGCCATGGCCGACCAAGTCAAACGGGATGACCTAGTGGTATCACCCTCTCCCATGGAACAGATTCTGGCTAAGAGACTGTCTGATGTAGAGGCAGTGATGAGGCGCATACCAAGAATGCCGATCCCCACTAAGAAGAGCAGACGCCATTACCATGCCGATTCACCTTTTGTAGACGCGATCGCCCTAGCTGACATGCCCCACAAATTTACTATCCCTAGCATGAAACCTTATGACGGCACCACCAACCTAGATGATCACATAGCCTCGTATAAGTAGCAAATGTTCACTGTGCCGATACCCCAAGCACTGAGGGAAGCCTGTATGTATAAGAGTTTTGGTTCAAGCTTATCTGGTCCATCACTTCAGTGGTACACCGATCTCCCAAACGATTACATCGACTCATTTGCACAACTCCCCAACACCTTCTTGGAGCAGTTCGCTAGCAGGAAAAAACTCGAGAAACTATCGGCTAATCTATACCGAGTATACCAGAGAAGGGGGGAGCCACTGAGAGAGTATGTCAGCAGATTCAACAAAGAGAAAATTTTCATCCCTTCTTGTAACCTCGAGACAACTGTAGATGCCTTCAGGAAGGGTCTCCTCCCAGACGAAGAGTTATACAAAGAGCTGACAAAGCTTGGCTGCACCACAATGGAAGACGCCTTGGCCAGAGTAGTGATTCAGATAAGGTGGGAAGAAGATGAGATGAATTGGGCAGTACACACCAGGTATGACCCAAGGCGGAATGATAGAAGGCTAGAATTTAGATCGATTGAACCCGGTCACCAACCCCCTCCTCGCAACTAGAACAGAGTAAGCAAACCATATGATCGCTAGCCACTTAGAACCAACAACAAACCAATTGGACCAACCCGATAGAAAATCCTAGAGTACAACCTCAACGTCGAACCAGCCTAGGTGGTGGCGATCATGAAAGGAATGAGATCTACTGTTAAGTGGCCAGGCAAGCTAAATGATGAAGCAAGGAGAGACACGACCAAGTGGTGCGAGTTCCACGGGGACCATGTACATAACACCTCAGATTGCATTGCCCTACGGTTGGAGGTCGTTGCACTATTGAAGAGAGGACATCTCCGAGATCTGTTGATAGATAAAGGGAAGAGTACCATCAGCCAGAAAAGCACGAAAGAAAAATCTCCACCTCCGCAGGAACCTACGCCAAAAGGATTTTGCAATATCATCTCAAGAGCGTCAGAGATCAGTGGGTTAAGTTACTCGTCAACCAAACGCTACGCCAGAGCCAATAGCCACCATGAAATACAATCTATCCACCCCTCCTCTCGGTCACATTCCTACCAGGTAATTCAGTTCGAAGACGACGAGCCGGTTACCCTAGCAGTCCTTCACCATGATGCTTTAGTCGTCTCCCTCCAGATCGCCAACATTCTGGTCAAGAGGGTATTCATAGATGGGGGATCATCAGCAAATATTCTATTCCTTGAAGCAGTAAAGACTATGGGACTGGAAGAAGCAAACATCAACAGAAGGCCAACCCTACTGGTTGGGTTCAGTTATGAGTAGAAGTACTCCATCGGAGAGATCATCATTCCTATCTATGCCAGCGGAGTAAACAAACAAACCCTTTTTCTAGTGATCGACTGTCCTTCACCATACAATGTTATCTTGGATCGACCTTGGATCCACGACATGCAAGCGGTCCCATCCACTTTCCACCAAATGATCAGGTTTCCTACCAAATAGGGAGTATGAGAAATCAAGGGCGACCCGAAAGCTTCCAGAGATTGTTACAAGAATGCCTTCAATGGCAAGGGTAACGCTTCATAGTAATTACAGTCCCATCCAACCCCTTCGACCGAGTCGGATCAACCATCTATGGAAGAGTTAGATGAAGTACAAATACATCCGAAGGACTCCGAGAGAAACACACACATAGGTTCCCGCCTCAGGCCCGAGACAAGAGAGAAGCTGATAGAATTCCTCAAACAAAACCAAGACTATTTCGCTTGGTCCCACGCTGACATGACAGGGATCAGTCCAAAGGCAATGGTCCACCACCTCAAGGTAGATCCGGATCACCAGCCAGTGAAGCAAAGGAGAAGGAAATTTGCATCAGAGCACAACCGGATCGTCAATGAAAAGGTTGAAAAGCTATTGAGCAACGGTATGATTAGAGAGGTCCACTACCCTGAATGGTTGGAAAACATCGTGGTTGTAAAGAAAAGGAACAGAAAGTGTAGAGTGTGCATCGACTTTATGGACTTAAACAAAGCGTGCCCTAAGGATTCCTTCCTAGCTTCCACATATCGAAATGATGGTTAATGCGACCGCAAGCCACGAGCTCTTTAGTTTCATGGACGCTTTCTCAGGGTATAGCCAAATCTTGATGCGCCCGGACAACCAAGAGAAGACAGCCTTCATCACGGAGAGGGGAACCCACTGCTACAAAGTGATGCCATTCGGTCTGAAGAACGTCGGGCCTACCTATCAGCGCCTAGTCAACAGGATGTTTGCCGAACACCTCTGGACACTATAGAGGTTTACATCGACGACATGCTCATCAAGTCCCTGATAGCCGAACAACACCTTTACCACCTCAGCCAGGCATTCGCCGTCCTAAGAAAGTATAACATGAAGTTGAATCTAGCCAAATGCTCATTCAGCGTCTCATCAGGTAAATTCTTGGGATACATGGTAACTCAGCGAGGGATAGAAGTCAACCATGACCAGATCAGAGCGATCCTCAATATACCATCCCTAGCTTGCATCAAAGACATCCAGCACCTTGCAGGACGAGTAGCTGCCTTGAGCCATTTCATCTCCAGATCTGTCGACAAGTGCCACCTTTTCTTCCACGCACTTAAGAAGTCCAACAAGTTCGAGTGGACCCCTTTCTGCGAAGAAGCCTTGCAACAATTGAAAAGGTACATGATCTCCCCTCCACTCCTTTCCAAGCCTGTGGATGGGGAAAAGCTTTACACCTATCTGACAGTCTCAAAGACTGTTATCTCAGTAGTGTTAGTTCGGGAAGAGGAAGCGAAGCAGCTACCGGTCTACTATATGAGTAAGTCGCTCCTCGACGCAGAAACACGGTACAGTCAGTTGGAGAAATTGGCCCTTGCACTCATCCATGCATCTAGGAAGCTCAGACCATACTTTCAGTGTCACTCCATAGTCGTACTCACTTCCTTCCCACTCAAGAACATACTACACAAACCAAAGTTATCAGGCCGACTCACACAATGGACAGTAGAGCTTAGTGAGTTTGACATATCATATCAGCCTTGTACTGCTGTGAAGTCCCAAGTATTGGCAGACTTCATCGCGGATTTCACCCTGTGCACCACCGTCCAAGCAAAAAGAGAGTTATTATGCCTGAACGATGGGTCACCTTCCAAGTGGACCCTCTCAGTGGATGGCTCAAGCAACACGAATGGCAGCGGGCTCGGGCTCGGGCTCGTACTGACTACACCAGAGGGAGACTCATCTAGTGGGAAATACGATGTGGGTTCAAGTGTACGAACAACAAAGCCGAATATGAGGCCCTTAGCGTCGGACTCTCACTGGCCAAAGAAATTAGAGCGAGGAGATAAGAGGTAAAGTCCGACTCCCAGCTCGTGGTCAACCAGCTGCAAGGTACTTCCTAGGCACGCGACTTGAAGATGGCTGCCTACTTGAACCTGGTCAAGGAATTGTAGGCCAAATTCGAAGAAGCCTAAGTCCCAAGAGTGGAGAAGTCTCATGCTGATGCCCTAGCTAACCTCGGCTCAACCCTTCAATGTTCTTCCCAGTCATCCATCCCTCTGTTATTTCTATAATGGCTAGCCAACTGGAAGGAATAACCAGCAAACAATACGCCTAAAGAAGCAATGGATATAAAGCTGGCTGACTGTTGGATGACCACGATAGTGAAGTACCGGGAACACAAAGAGCTATAGGCTAACAAAAACAAAGCTCGCCGCCTGAGAGCGAGAGCTGCCAGGTTCACCGTATATAAGGGCCAACTCATTAGGAAATCGTTCTCTGGTCCCTACCTTAAGTGCACAAGCCCAAAAGAGGCCAAATGTGTTCTCGCCGAACTCCATGGAGGCGACTGTGGAAATCATGCTGGGGGACACAGCCTTGCACACCGGGTGATCACCGCTGGGTACTATTGGCCAACCATACGCACTAATTTAGCTGCTTATGTTAAGAAGTGCGACAGTCATCAGAGGTTCGCTCATGTTTCACACCTTCCACCCAAGCGACTCTACTCCATCCTCACCCCTTGGCCCTTCATGAAGTGGAGAATGGATATAGTAGGAAAGCTACCGACCGCACCTAGGCAACGAGTTTTCCTGTTGGCTATGACAAATTACTTCACTAAGTGGATTGAAGCCGAAGCTTTCGCACAAGTCAGAAACCGACAGGTAAAAGCTTTTATCTGGAAACATGTCATCTACAAGTTTTGGATACCAAAGGAAATCGTCACCGACAATGGATCCCAGTTTATCAGTTCAGGCTTTAGGGATTTCTGCGACATGTGGGGGATCAAACTTAGCTTTTCCACACCTCGCAACCCCTAGTCCAACGGCCAGGCCGAGTCATCAAATAAAACCATCATACAGACCTTAAAAAAGCAATTGCAGAAAGCGAAGGGTGCATGGGCAGATGAGCTACCTAAAGTCCTTTGGTCCTATCGAACTATAGCTCGCTCGTTAACAGGCAAGACCCCATTCTCCCTCACATACGGTTCTGAAGCAGTCATCCTAGCTGAAGTATCATTTCCATCCACCAGGCTCCAATGGCCGAACAAGGAAACCAACGGCCAGAACCTTTGCCAGAACTTAGACACCGTCGACGAGCTACACAAGCATCCGCAATGCTATCTACTAGCAGCAGGTCGCCCGACACTACAACCGGAACGTCAGGATCAGAACTTTCAAAATAGGTGATTGGGTCCTCTGCAAGGTCTTTCAAAACACTAGGGAGATCAATTCTGGCAAACTCGGCCTGACTTGGGAGGGTCCCTACAAGATCATCAAAGAAGCGGGGAAGGGTGTCTACTAACTCCAGACTTCGGAAGGCAAAGACATCAGCAATAGTTGGAATGCAGTCCACCTCAAACGCTACTACTTTTAGGTGAACTCATTCATTTACATGTTTGTTTTCTTTTTGTTTTTTTTTTATTTAAAAGGGATGAGTGGGCCTATCCACCTCCCTATAGACAATCGGCCTTATGGCCCAAATTTAATGAAGTATTATTCAGAAATTCATATATTCGGATCGACCCTTCTCGATCAAATGATTTTTACACCTTTGGATTGACCCTGCTCGATTCACAGAATTACACCTTCAGATCGATCATGCTCGATCCATAGAATTACACCTTCGGATTGGCTTGCCCCGATCCACAAAATTACACATTCGGATAGACCCTACTTAATTCATAGAATTACACCTTCGGATCGACCTTGCTCAACGCATGGAATTACACCTTCGAATCGGCCTGCCCGATCCACAGAATTACACCTTCGGATCGACCCTGCTTGATTTACGAAATTACACCTTCGGATCGACCTTGCTCGATCCACGGAATTACACCTTCGGATCGGCCTGTCTGATCCATGGAATTACACCTTCGGATCGACCCTATCCGATTCACGGATTTACACCTTTGGATTGACCCTGCTCGATCCATGGAATTACACTTGCGGTTCGGCTTGCCCGATCCACTAGGGGTGTGCAAAAAATCGTTAACCGAACCGAACATGCGAACCGAACCAAATCGAACCAAACCAAACCAAACCCGAAAATTCGAGTCGGTTTTGGGTATTTATTATGTGATACCCGAATTTTTGCTTCGGGTATCAGGTAGTTATTTTAAGAAAACTAGGTACCCGGTACCTGGTTTAGTAAGAAATAAAAAAATAAAAAACCTAGTTTTTAAACCTATTTTCCTTTAACTTTCAAAGAGCAAGAGGCAAAAACCCCAAATCTTAAGTATTTAAGTTATTAAATTAAAAGTTGATTTAGTATATGGAAGAAATTGTATTCACAAATTCAAATTTGAAATGTAAAAATTAAAATTCATGCATACTCGGTTTTTGACCCAAATATTAGGGTACCCAAAAAATCGGATACCCTTAAAAGCGGTTCGGATTGCGGGTACTCTTTTAGGTTTGGGTACCTAGTTTTCAGGCAAAACCGATTCAGGTACCCGGTTTTGCACAGCCCTACGATCCACGAAATTACACCTTCGGATCGACCCTGCTCGATCCACAGATTTACACATTCAGATCGACCCTGCTCGATCCACGGAATGATACCTTCGGATCGGCCTGCTCGATCCACGAAATTACACATTCGGATCGACCCTGCTCGATCCACGGATTTACACCTTCAGTTCAACCCTGCTCGATCCATGGAATTTCACCTTCAGATCAGCCTGCCCAATTCACAGATCTACACCTTCGACTGGCCCTGCCCGGTTCATGAAGCTACAATCCAGACAGCCAGACCGAGTAAAGGGTTCTTACACCTCAAAATCGACAAGTCATCGACCCAGCCTAGCAGAGAGTCTA